CTCCTCAACTGTTTCTCTTTTGTTCTTTACTGACGCTAACATTTATTAGCACCGATTACATACCAGGCACTTGGCTAAACTCTTTGCATACAGCATCTCATTTTAATCTCACAATAGCCTTATAATATACGTACATCATTATTATCTCCATTATACAAATATGGAAACTGAGGATCAGAGAAGTTAAGTGACTTGCCTAAGGCCTCACAGCTAACAAAAGACTGAATCCCAGCACAAACCCAGCTCCACTTAACCATAAATCCTTAACTACCATAGTAAGCAATAACAGGGAGGGGATTGTACCTAGGTGCACCGAAAGCGGGTGGGGGCAGCACCAATCTGGGGCCGGGTGGTTTTTCAAAACGTGTGCAAATGTGTGTGGAGCTGCAGGACCATCTGGGTCTCCTGACTTCCTGACCTCAGCCCCTGTTTTTGTATCTTCCTCCACCTGCTACATATGTCCTGGCCGTCCCAGGGGCGCTTGCCTGCTGTTTTCAGGGACCTGGAACGATTTAGCAAAACCCACTGTATCACAGCTCTGTGGCAGGACACATCCACTGAGCCCCAGGACAAGGCTGGCCTCTGCCCAGCCTTGATTCCCTCATGCGCTTTCTGACCTCATTTTTCCCCTTCAGTTGCTTGCACCACCAGCTGAAAAGTTTCTAGGACAAAGCCACCTGGCGGGGGCAGGTGTGTTCTCGCTGATAAGGGACCAGTCAGGCAAATGTGTGTGATTGCAGGATACTTAACAACGCAGGCAGAAAGCCCAGCCCCACAAGGCCCAGGGTGGTGACACGTGTTGGGGAAGGAAGTGCAAAGCAGGAGTGAAGGAAAGGCAGAAAAGTTCACAAAGGTGACGCTGAGGAGGTGGACCAGATTCTCGTGTGTGCACGCTTTTCCTTTGAACTTGCTGCTTGGGGAAGTCAAGTCAGGGAGTTTTCTCCTAGAACACATGCATAGTTTTTCCAGGGTCCTGGAAGTGAGTTGCAAAGGCAGCATGTGCTGGGAAGAACCACACATCCGAGTCACAGCCACGATCACGTGTGGTAAGAACCACACATCCAAGTCATGGCCACAGATCATTTGGGAGACGAACAAAACAAGCCAGAAGTCGGGGGACCAAGGAACATCTCTGGATAGCACTTGATTAACAAGGAGGTGGGAAGGTGTGACTTTGATTAGAAAGTATTGAGTCACTTCAGCAATCACAGCAAATATTTATTGAGCACTTACTATGAGCATCACTGTGCTGACAGCTAAGTGCCATGAGCCACCTCATTTATTGCTCACAGCCACCCTCTGAGGTAGGTACTATTATTATCTCCAATATACAGATGGGGAGCTGGAGGCCCCGAAGTTTAAGTGACTCACTCGAAGTATATAACTGCTGAGGGGCAGAGTTAGGACTTGAATTTTTATTTTTCTCAAACCTAAGCCCACGCATTCTTAATGTCTCTGCTTTACTGCTGGTCCTAATTAAGAAATATTATTTATGATTATTATTATTTTGAGTTGGAGTCTCACTCTGTCACCCAGGCTAGAGTGCAGTGGCACACTCATCACCATTGCAGCTTCGACCTGCTGGGCTCAGGAGATTCTTCCACCTCAGCCTACCACGTAGCTGGAACTACAGGTGTGTGCCACCATGCCCAGCTAATTTTTTGATGTATTGTAGAGATGAGGTCTCGCCAAGTTGCCCAGACTGGTCTTGAGCCCATGGGCTCAGGCAATCCTCTCGCCTCCGCCTCCCAATGTGCTGTGATTACAGGCATGAGCCACACGGCACCTGGCCCAGAAATATTATTAAATTGTGACAGAATGGGGAGGAAGAGAGATCAGCTATTCAGGAACTGCAACCCTTTCAGGCGTTTGCCAAGTTCCTTCAGGTTGACTACGTCTTGGGAAGGACTGAGTGGGATCTGCACCGCCAGGGCCTCCCATAAGTAGGGTGGTCTTGGCTGTCGGTCTGAAGTCACTGCACGTGTAGAAACCTAGTCGTTTCTAAGTTTTCTTTTTACACAGTTGGCTTGGGAGAGTTTTAGACATGTAGGCACAATGGGCTATTCTTTCTCTTTGGGGCTGGCACCATGAGGTGTGACTGCTGGTTTCACCTAGTATGCCGGCTGGCACAGGGTGCACCCAGGCTCTCTGAGCCAATAAGAGGAGCTTGACAAGCTTGTTTTTTAGATGAGCCTGGGGGAGCAGGACAGACTTGGGGTTTAAAAAGCACATGGGCAGGACACTAAATGAAGTCTTTCAGAGTGCCAGGTTATCAGTGAGCCCTCTAAAGAGGTGTTTTTGCAAAATGGCCCCCTGTGACACCAGGTCATTTATGCCCTCCTAGGGGAGTACTTTATACTTAGTATCCTCCCAGCCTGAACTCATCATGGAATCAAGTTCTGTAATAATACCTATTACCCTCTCAGGTCAGGACCATAACTCCTTCTGTGTTTTGAACATAGCTCATGCCTGGTGGGGCACCATAGACAGCCAATAACAATGTGAGCCATGATACCGATCTTCCAAATGCCTTTCATCCAAGGCTCTCAAAATGCTTTGCAAACACTAATTAAGCCTCACACTGGCTCTGTTTTTATAATGCATATTCCCATTTTACAGAATTTTAAATGGAGACCCAACAAACTTAAGTGGCTGGCCCAAAATCATACTGCAAGTTTAAATTAATGTTAATGATAACGCTTTGTATTTACATTACAGGTGTGTTATAAGGCCAAACGAGTATACTGCAGAGATTATTTATGCATCATCCTGGAGGAAGGAGGGCAACAAGCACTTGTAGCTTCCGACTAAATTGGCTAAACCGAGGCAGAGCAGGCAGCGATGCGGAAAGATTAGACTGAAGATGTGAGTCCAGTCTCCCGACCCCCAGAGTACGGCAAACAGTTCCCTTAACCCAGGGTGCTTGCGTGCTGACAGGAACGATAGTTATATTTGTGGGAATAGAGACAGTTGCAGAATGACTGTCATATTTACATCCAGAAATGGGTGTGCTCATATCCCCACCAAGAGAGTGACAGGGAAAAGAGGAGTCACTTCAAGAAAGGGCAGTTCAAGAGATGAAGGAGCAGGGTGGGCTGGGATGGGGTGTGGCTTTCTCTCTAGAAGAGCGCCTTTCTCATCCTGGCAGGCCTGACAGCAGGATCCCTTGATGGCTTGGTTCTGTACTTCAGCTTCATGACAGGATTTGGTCCAGGGCGGTGTGGGTCGTGGGTCCAGATGCAACACTGGCATTGCTGCCTGATGTTACAAGTTTCCGCAGGAGAGTCCCAGGGACACCCAGAATCTTCCGGCTGTTTCTTACATGTGACCAGTTCTCACCTCAATTCTCTGTGCCAGAAGGGGCAAGGGAATCCTCTATGGTTCAAAAACACGGTAACTGTGCATGCACTCGGTGCTATCTTTTCTTAAGTACACACAGCCACATCGAAGAAGATGAAAGCCTGAGCAAAAATATTCCAGCTGATAAGGGACTTGCCTCTCCCAGTCTGGCACCATCTCCCTGGGGAGTGAGGAGACTCTACTGAGTGGGGGGATGGGTCTCAGGAATGCAAGAGGGATTTGCTGACCCAGCGAAAGAGACCTTTTCACTATAAACAAAGCATGTTGAGAACGATTTGCTTCCCCACCCCCACTCTGCTGAATCCAGGCCTGTGGACTCCGATTGACAACTGCATCGGGGGCCAGTGAAAAGACTTGGAGTGCCAAGTCAGTTCTGGAATGTGTCCACACACACACACAAGCACAACAGCAATAAAGACGTCACACCAAGGTCCTGCCGCTTCCGACTTCATTGGTGAAGGCTGACACATGCCCCTGCCATGTGGATGGTTCATAAGCGCAGCGAACCCAAGAAGGGGTGAGCTCTTGGAAGGAACATTTCAGAAAATCGTTCCGAATGAGTAACACAAAGCTCTTCTCCTGAGCAGGGAAGGAGTCCGTGCAGACCCTCCCACACACAGTCGCCTGGCATGGCAGGGCACCTAGAACCCTGCTGTTAGCATGAAAGCTTGCTTTGGGTAAGACTACAAAGAATGCACCTTTGGATTTTCAAGTATGCCAACCACCCAAGCCACGGCTTTCTGCATGTACTCTGGTACGTTGACTCCAAGGGTGACAGTGCAGACAATCCTGTTGAACTCACAAGGATCACGTCCTTCTCTCCATTCATGTCCTTACACAGCCTATCATGACATGGCTCGCTGCCGGGTCTGATAAATCCCCAGGGCATGCTTGCGGGGCTGGACAGAGAGGGATTCACGTTATCCCAACAGGGAAAGCATTCCAGGATGATCTCCTGTAAGGCTGATTTGGTTTTTTAATTGCAGCCTCTGCAGTGTATTTTCTGTGTGCTTTCTTCATTTCGCAGAGTGAGACACATCTGTGGGGCTCCCATACACATCTGCTGCACTTCACAGCCCAGCCTTGCTATCAATCAATCCACCCACATACACGCTTCCCTCCTGCACAAACGGGCGACAAGTATCCTGATCGCTCAGAACAGATTATGAATGGGCACTGTCATAATGGTGCTTGATGACTAGGGTGGGAGGATGGATTTCGGAAAATTTCAAACAAAACCTGGCATTTGGAAACTTCTCAGAGCCCTCAAAGGCAACAAGCAGTTGGATTTGTTATTCTCTTTTTCCCCACCCTCCGTGTATCTCCCATGCACTGGTTTGGTCTTAAAAGTGAGAGACCAAAAATAAAATAGAAAAGGCTTTCCTTCTTCTACCTTCTGGAAGGACAAGAGGAAAGGAGAATTTGGAAGCTTTAACAGCTCTAAGAGAAATTCTTAGACGGATTAGGTGGGCTCAGGACTCCACCATGGCTCAGTTAAAACAATCACTGCCCACAGAAACTTGTCCCCGGGGCGCCACCAGTGGCATTCTGGAATGTAACTGCAGGAAGACAATCCCGAACTCCTAGTATACACAGATCCTGCCTCCAAGTAGACACGAAATTAATAAGAGCTTTCTTACCCCATCCATGTGGATTCTGATATTGGGCATCAGCCGGAAAGGGCTGGCCTGCAGACCTCGGGGGCCGGTCCTGCTCTTCCTGCCGTCTTGCAAGGTCAGCGTGCCGGGCCTGCGGAAGGAGCCCCCTGTCCCGGAGCTCTGGCTTGAGCGCACGCCATCCAGAAGTCGCACGAGCAGTAGGTTGGCCGGCAGCGCCTCGATGCTGCAAAACACCGGGGTCCTGCATTCGGGGCACCGCAGCTCCTTGTGGGCCTTGAAAACCCTCTGTAGACATGGCTTGCAGAAAGTGTGCTGGCAAGGAAGGACTTTGGCTGTGACATCGAGCTTTTCCAAGCACACTGGGCACTCCAGAAGATCAAGTAACGTCCAATCATCCATTTTATTTTAAAACTCTAGTCCGGAGCTGGAGGAGCGAGGCCTACATTGTAGGGTGAGCCGAGCCAAGGACGCAGAGCCAGTCTCTTGAAGCGTCAGAATTCCTGCCTGCTTGGAGGAGAAAGGAAGGGAGGGGAAAAAAATGTGACTGCTCTGAGAGGTATATCCCACCTACATTGAGACAGTGTCTCATGAGGCAGTTTGCGAGTACTTTGTTCCGGCACCCAAGTTTCAAATGACTCATTCTGATTCAGTGCTAGCAGGTATAACACTCAACGCATGCCTGCTCTAAGGATCCCAGGGAACATTCTGCACAGGACTGGCTGCGCGCTGCCTGTGTAAACCAGAGCAACAGCACGGGTCTGTTGAACTGCTGCCCACCCTTCTCTGCCAGCTGGGGCTGGAAGGAGTCCTCTGCCCCGCCCTGGGGAAGGTGCGCCCACAGGCTCAGGTCTCACACCAAAGCCCCTTGGAAAGTGGCTTCTGGGAAGCCATCGGCTCCTCCCTTTCTCCCTAGATCTAAGCGTGTCTATTATCCGCATCACAGGCAGATAAGTCTAGGTGGGCAAGCTTATCAGAAGCTCTTACAGTCGTAGAATTCTTTCCTTCACAATAGATCTTGTTCTAGCAATGTACCTGAAACATTTCCAGTAGAACCAACCCCATAAAAATGGTTTTGCTTAACTATAGGCCCATGTACTTGGAAGCTGTGTTTTTCTTTTTCTTTTTCCTCCTCAGATTGTCTTAGCATCAGAGACAATATTCCTCCCACAAGATAAAGTCGCACAGCCTGTTTAGTTACTTTGACAATTGTTCTCGGTTTCAGCTGAAGCAGATAGGAATTCTGGATGGTGGTCACAACCTGGGAAGCCAAGATGGAGCAGCGCATGGAGGTAGGGGCTGTGCATAGTGCGCGCACACGTGCGCGTGTGTGGTCTGAAAACAATCCTTGTTCCAGAAACAAGTTACCTTCTGGATGTAGAAAGATAAGCCTCCAGGAAAGAGAAGTCTCCTGGGAAGAAGTCGGCTGGCAGGAAGGCCGGGGCCCCACAGCCCCCAGGGAGCAGGGGACCCGCCGCGGGAGAGCTGGCGCCCGGCCTCCGGACTCCTCCAAAGCGGCCGCGCTGCGTGGCGTGCGGGGGACACTGACCTTGGCTGCACCCTGGCCGGGCTGGCTCATCCCTTCCTCTGCGCCAGGCACTGCTCCTCCCGCCGCCTTCTTCTCCCCAGCACCACCGCGGCCCGCGCTTTGAAAACTTTAACAAGTCGGTCTACTGGATCCAGGTCTCGCCTCACCCAGCCCTGTTAACGCTTTCACCGCCAGGCTACTGCCTGTTGGCCATGCCTTTTTTTTTTTTTTTTTTAACCCCAACTCTGCTGATCTTTCCTTTAGTTAACTGAATCGTTTTCTGGGGAGAGATTGCAAGAGGTAACATAGAAGTCAGACCCTAAGGTCAAGTATTTACCAAGTTTATATCTTCACTTCTCCCATTTTCTCGCCTATCCAAGGAGTTGAAACCTGCTCCATTGTAAACACACCAAAGGGATTGTGTTTATCTTAAACCTTTACAAGGATTTCCTGGGAAGGTCAAGCATATTAGTGGCAGCTATGATAACAAGGATATGCCAGCCACCTAGAAAATTCTGCTCTTTGATAATCATAGTCAATCCCTGAATTCAGGGACCCCCGGGCCTTTAGTGATTTTTTTTGCTCAATCTCTTTAAATCAGAAAACGGTATCCCGTAGATACACATACTTGGAAAATCAGAGTACAAAAGGACTTTTTCAAACAAGGAAGAGCAGGGTCTCTGGCTATCTTCCTGCCTTTTCATATCCCCAAATAATGTCTATCCTTCTATTTTTTGATGTATCAATATACATGTCATGTAAAATGACAAAGGTATTCAACTGAGTAAGTTAATAATAATAATCATAGTTAATACTAGGATGGCCCTTATCTGTGCCAAGTTCTGTGCTAAATACTTTACCTACGTTAACCCTTTTAACAACCCAAGGATGCAGTGTACTCATCTTTGCCTTCATTTTACAGATGAGGAAACTTGAGACACAGAGAGGGTAGATAACTGATCCCAGGAGTCACAGCTAGTCCAGGGCAGGTGGTCTGTGCTCTTAACTGCTATGTCGTGGAGTGAAACTACTTTAAGAGAAGAGGCGCCTCAAGGGAACTCATCCCAGTCTAGGATGGCAGGAAGTCAAACAAGATGGCCCAAACGGACCGCTCAGACTCTCAGCAGATGAGGCAGGGGTGCCCAAAGAGATCAAGAGATTCCCCAAGGTTGCCCAGTGAGTTAGGGGCAGAACTAGAACTGGAAACTGAGTGTTTTGGTTTTTTTGTAACCGCGTCTTCTCTCTCAACATGAGGATGACAATTTTTTATTACACAGAAAGTACTTAGATACAGCTCCGTGGGAATGTCTTACAAGGGGGCCAAGAGTCCTGACAACAATGCAGTAGTACATGCTTTTCAAAGTGCTTTCAAGTCAGTTTTCAAAACAGGCACAAAGCTCAAAACAAGGGCGAACTTCAGGATGGGGCGCATGAAATGACCTGTCTTCTGAGCACTGAGGCCTGATGTTGACGCATGTCAATTTCAGAGAGCACTTTCAACTCTTATTTTTTAAATCTCCCTCAACAACATCACATCCCATTCTGCTTGCCTGTCTCCTCCAGTTAGTTCCCACTCTTGATTCTGTGCCTCCAAGAAACTCCTTGTGGCTCTTTGCGGTCTGTCCCTTTATTCTCTTTTCTACTTAGCAAAGCTGAACCAGTCTCTTTTTGGCCCTGCAGTCCCCTCACCCTGAGCAAGGACTGTTCCAGTGCTGGAACTCCTGCTACAGGAGTTGGCAACACCCTGCCTCCCTCCCTCTCTTGCTCTTAAACACACTGTCTCCCTTACGTGCCCTTATCTGCACCTGTATGCACATGCGTACATAAGCTTGCATAAGGACACACACACACATAATCTTAATACCAGTGCTAAGACTTTGTTTATCTCACTGAATTCTCCCAACCACCTCGTGCGGTCCTGCAACTTGCCCAGGGTTACACAGCTTGTAATCTGAACCCAGTTTGTTCTCCTTCCAGAGCCTGTGTTTCTTTTCATGTTATAAGGCCATGTGTATGCCATAAGTACATCCCTATATCTTTAGAAATCCACATGTTTATACATATATCTATATTGTACACACCAGCTGATCCCAAGGCCAACCTAAGACAAAATAGTGATGTCAAAAAGGAAGTGGGGCTTTCTCACTCTTACTGTTTGTAGTTTCCCCAGTCTATGGCCCCTTGTGAGGTATTGTCTGGACATAGACTGTTTCCCCTATACCTGGCTTCTTTCTGCCGCCTCCCTGAGGGAGCGGCCTCTGGCCAAGGCTGGACTCTGAAGGGTATGCATGTTCCCAGTAATGAGTCATGGGATGCAGGTGACCAAGCAAAGTTGAAGAAAATGTAGTCCTTACACTTAATCAATGTAATCGTAAACACCGGTTCGGGATGATTAACTTGATTGCTTTGATTATAAAACTGGTTGCGGGTTCTTCTGACCTCCTGGAAGTTTCAATAAACCAGTGTCTTTCCCTGCTGGACTTCCAGGTGACTTCTTTGGAATAGGTAAACATTACACACAAGCCTTCTCAGATTTGGAGTTACAACATTATACCCACCACACCCTTTTGTGGTCAGTGGTCTCTAAAAGCTTCAACCCCCTCCCCCATCCCTAAGAAAACACAATCAAACTAGCTCAGTTCTAAGAAGGCAGGAGAGATCCAGTGGGCTCCTTTTTCCTGGCATATCTGGTAATTAAACATTTAGCCAAATAGAATTGTGATGGTAGAATTTTAGGTGCTAGTGGAGGATGGAGAACGTTTACACTGAACAGAAGGAGTGGTCTTTTAGCACCTCTCAGATCACACCCTGTGGGTGGTCCCTGGCATCATCCACAGATGAGGATAGTTAGGAGAAAATTTCTTTTGACACTTTTAGAGAAGATGGAGATTTTATATGGAGATTTCATTCGGGGCATACCCAAATGCTACACTGGTATCAAATCAGATGGACATCTAATCTTTGAAAACAAAACAAAAAAGGTGAACTCTGCATACCTGTCTAGACTCCAGGCCACCTTCTCCCCATCACTGTCACCCTAGCAACACTCCTCTTGCTATTTGTTACTCTATAGTTGTAGGGTGACTATGGGCTGCACTCTTTTTTAATACCCTTGTGATATGTATGAGCTTCTGCTGCTTATGTTTACCAGCACATCTCAACTTATGTTTAAAAGAAAAAATTAAGTCTGATGACACGATTTCCCTATTCCAACCCTCAGAAGGTACCCACAGACCTTAGGATAAAAACAGCACCTTCTGACCTGTGGAACCCTGCCTGACCTGTTAGTGCTCCCCAACTCTCCTGCCTGAACTTACACCCACGTCCCACCCACCCACACTCTCAAGGTCTGCTAGCTTTCTCTCTTCCTCCTGGTTCCCGTGTTTCTGCCACAGGCTGTTTGTTCATGCTCCTCTTTCTGTCCCCAGCACATTCTCTTCCCCTTCCTCTCTTCCTAGCTACTCTCTTCCTTCCACCTTTGCTTTTTTCAACTCTTCTGCAAATTTGAGCTTTTAGAAATGCCACTTCCTCAGGGAAGCCCTCTTTGATTCTCATAAGTAGAAAGTTTGTCATCCTACACTTCTCCTTAAGAACAGTTATCATAATTGGAATTCATTAATCATCATATAACGATTTGTTTAATACCCAGCTCTCCCAGAGAGACGGTACACTCCAAGAGCGCAAGGAACTTACGTGTCTTGTCAGTGTTCTACCTTCACATCGAACACAGTGGCTGGCACATAGTATGTAACACTCAATAAATGTCCATCGAGTGGGTTTATGAATGGGTAAACAGATGAATCGTGTTCTTAAAAATTTGTGTTTAAGGCCAGGTGCTGTGGCTCACACTGATAATCCCAGCACTTTGGGAGGCTGAGGTGAGAAGATTGCCTGAGCCTACGGGTTTGAGACTAGCCTGGGCAACTTGGTGAGACCTCATCTCTACAATAAAT